AACATGTTTCAAACAATTTAAAGCTCCATTGGTCCTTGAAAAGTGCAATGGATGCATGTAATGGTATTATTGAATGAAAGTTTAAGAACTGCCAAATTAACTTTCCCTAAATAAAAACTAAATAAAATCAAAAGAACTAATCTTTCTATTACATAAGAATCACATTTATTTTCTAGCACAGGGAATGGCCTCATCACTTCTTGATTAGAATCTCAACAACCTCTATAGGCCACATGCATTTAGCATGCACAGAGCATAGCAAGAGACTGGCTTGGACCATAAGTACTTACCCAACAAATTAAAGTTCTAGTTATATATCCTCTTCCCAATCACTCTCACTTCACTTCTTGAAATCAAATCTCACTCTTTTCTCTACATCAAACTAAAGTAGTTTGTATTCAAAGGAAAAATGGACGATGCCCATGATTCATGGATCGAATGGCTAGAGAAGTTGCCTCCAAATGATGATGCACAAGAAAAGAGATTATCAACCAAATAATCACTAATATTGAGTTTACGGGGAATATTGACAAAGGATCCCATCATTTTGTTTTGCTTTTCAAAAAGAGGTTAGATAAACTGCTTTAGGATGCTGACACCCAAGGGACAAGGATGAAACTACTATTTGCAACAGTTGTGGGTAATCTCTTACCTTTGCTTGGAGAGACTACACTTCAAAGACTTCATGCTGGTTTTCCCATTGTGCTGCATGGTCGGACTAGATACCAACTTCTATTTACATTCTCAAAGCAAAATAATGATTATTATTTTAAAGCCTCAGAACATTGGGTATCGTTTATGCATTAACGTACTATTAAATTTACTAAATATGTTGAATTCATAGTGTTGAAACAAAAGATGCACATAATTAACATTCCTAGGATGATTATATTGTAAAGTATAAAGAACCAAACTAGCTAGGTTACACCTTATAATCACACAATCAATGTTATTTTTTTTAAAACTAGCTATCACTCCATATAGTCGCATCAATACATTTTTCTTTGTTGTGTTTTTTCAATAGGTATCTTAACCGGTTCTCAATCAACTTCCTTCCTGAATAAACCTATTTTCATTCATCCTGTCTCTATTTTCATTTTCCTTGTCATGGTATTGTCTGTATCATCTTGGGTTATGTCATTTATGATCATGCAATGTTTCAAACACTACCATGGCTTCTTGAGTTCAAGCTCTAGCAGTCAAATCCTAGAGGAGACAAACTTATGATATTTATGATTCAATTCATAATTATCATTTCATTTTCTCACTCGTCAAGCTCTAAAGTGGTGGCAATGAACTAGTTTTCAAACCGATGGTTTCATAAGAAATTCATGCTAGTTCTTTTTTTCAACTTCTCCATGTTCATATAATGCATGGCTTTGGCCTTTTGGGTCTTTATCTTCTAGAGTTTTTTCTCATATTTGTAATTTTGTCTTCATTTGTAATTTTTGTTCAGTTGAGTTTGTAAGTCTAGTTTTTGTTTCTATCAAGTCTGTAGTTCATGTTGTTTCAACTTTCATTTAGTACTTTAGTTTTGCCTTCAGGAGTCTTTGCTAGAGGTTCTTTTTATGTTTTAATAAAAATTTTCTTTATTTTAAAAATAATAATTATAATTTATTTAAAAATGAAAAGAGAAAAGAGAAAATTAGCTTAATAGCCTCAAAAAATACAACTCCCATAAATTATGAATGAATTTTTTGAATATTTTGAAATATGTCCCATTCATAAAATCAATTAGATATGTTTTTCTTTTTTTATCCCCAAAATAAATTTATTACTAAAACAAAATATATCTGATTTAATTAATATTTAACTGACTGGATCTTTCATTTTTATCATCAAAAATCATATTGTGCATTCTCCTTCTTTGATTTATTATTTCTAAATATTTTATTCATCAAATTTTATGATCTAATTTTCTTGGATCATCATATTCATCTCTTGTACATTGCTTTTCTTCATTAGAATTTTTGATTCGATTTGCGTGGATCACCATCTTCATCACAAAGCTTTTCCTCTCCCTCCCCTCTTTTTTTCCTAAATATTACGAAGAGGACATTAGGCATTGAAGATGAAACTCCATTACTGACCTGCGATATTACATCACTGATATACGTCTGTATATCAATGATAAATAAATTAATAAGTTTTCACTGATATGGCTTATATATCAATGATATATAATAGTATATCACTTATATACTATGGTAGATCAACATAACAAATAATTAGCCATAAACTTGTTCATAATTGATATGCAATCATCTATCAATGATGTAGTATTACAAATCAATAACATAAAAAATATATAATCATTTGTCCAAATAGATCAAACATAGTTCACAAAAAATTTTGGACTCTTAGCCTATCATAAAGAATAAAATACCTAAATTAATAAAATAAAAAAATCATGAATCTGTAACTCCATTTCCCCATTGGCGTGCTCTATTTCGTCAAGTACTATTGATGTATCTCACCTTGTGTTTGTCTCTCACCGTCATGACCATGGTTCACTCACACTGCTCTGTTATCTCATGTTTGTCTCTCTCGCATCGAGTTCCGTCTTCTCTCTTGTATTTGTATCTCTCATTCTAGAGATTTCTTACATTTTGAATCTCCTGGTATTTAAAAAAAACAGATATTAAAAAGGGCAATTTTGTAAATTAATTATAATCTAAATAGGAAAAAGGCCATTTTTGAAATTTAAAAAAAGATAGGCTATTTCTTTTACTTGGTCTTATAATATGGCCTATTTATGGAAAAGCCCCTAATTTTAAAAGTACATAAGTTTAAATAGTGTATTTTATTCTAATACTAATTATATCTATCAATATTAAAAATTTAAAAATATAGATGATTCCAAAATTTATTACCTTTGTGCTATTTCTTGTTTTATTTCAAAATTTATTAACTCCATGCATATTTAAATAGAAATATGATTTTAAACATATAATTTTTTTAAAAAATTTACTTTTACATTGTGTCAGCTACGGTTAATGAGTGTGACATTGATATCACAAGGTTTAAATAATAACATATTTTTTATTCTGTGCATTTTAAAAACTTAATATAATATTTTATTCTAAATTTTGTTATTTCTTTGCATATCAAAAATTTGAAAACAATATATGACTTCAAAATTTATTACCCTTTATACTAGCTCAAAGTATATTTTAATAAAAAATTTATTTTTAAAGTATTTTTTAAATATTATGTCACCTAAATTTTAATTTCAAAAAATAAATAATTTTAAATGTTGAATTAAAAAATATAATAACTTTTAGGTAAAATATAAAAAACATCATTATTGTCATCAATTCAAAATGGTCCAACCATTTTGGGTTAATTCTGATTGTGTCGAAACTGCTGGGCTCAAAAAAAAGTTACCGTGTCAAACTGAGCCATTTTTGTATCCAAGTAACAGTTTGATTAGTCCACTAGTTCAAGTCTTAAAACATTGACTACAAGCCATTGGCAACTTAAACATATTTAAATTATTTAGTTCTCTTTAGAAGGTATTAAAGTATTTAAATATGTTGGAAAAGGCATATTTTATTTAACATTGCATATCCTAAGACTAAAACTCAAGATCTAGAATAAACTAATTCAAATATTCAATCCCTTCAACTAGTTGATCCAAGTGCCCCTCAATAATTCAAATTAAATTTTACAGTGTTTGAATTAAAAAAAAAGAATAAAATTGTTATATATATATATATATATATAACATGAATTTAATTTTATTTGTCTATTTAATTTTTGATAATATTTTTTAAAGTTCTATTAATTTTAATAATAATTTTGTTTACTTTTGGGAGAAAAAAAAAGATAACAAAATGTTTGAATTGGGGGGATAAAATCACTATATTCATGTGCATCTCTGTGTGTTAATTGGTAATAATGCATTTTAATTTTATTTATCTATTTACTTTTTGAAAACTCGTTTCAAAGTTCTCTTTTTTAAAAAATAATTTTATTTATTTGTGAGAGAAAAGAAAGATAAAAAACAAAATATTATTATTTTGAAAAAATTATAAAATTAAAAATAAATATGCTCCTCTACTCTATTATGTTCCTCTTTCTCTTTGGTATCAAATTTCAGTTTGACATTGATGATAATGAAGAAAGAGACAAGTGCAGGGTATATGTCTACAGTTTTTTAATTCTCTAATGCGTGAGTGTGTATAGGAATATATAGCTTGAGTCAAGTTTTGGTGTCACACCCTAATAATAGGGGGTGATCAGCACAGAACGTGAACAACATCACATATTCTATAAGCCACAAATTCAAGATTCATTTCATTTAGTTAAAATATACTCAGCTTTACACTGACCTTTTTATACTGTTGATACTAATCATTATAATAATTATTCCAACATTTTGTAAAAATTTTAACAAAACCTCCTCTGTAAATAAGATTTCTCAAATTCTTTATCACAAAAAAAAATTTTCCTTAAACATTATGTCAATCAGGAGCTCAACTCCTTCCAGCCAGTAGACAAAATGTATAATAAATTAAAGACTCTAATTGTAAGTTATGTGGAGCACCTAATTATATATCTCATGACATAATATATAAATTTCATAGTTACATCAATAAAACATATTTATAGAACTAGCGTCCATTCTATTCCGCAAACAACCATTGTTGGTAAGCAAGACGTACCACGTCAATTATGCTATCTGAGACCAAAATAATTTTTCAATGAATAATGTCCCAACAATAAATAATTTAACATGAATAAAAAAGAAAAGTTTGAAATAATCATGTAAGTTAAAGAGACAACAATTTTCATTAAAAAATATATAAATTTCAGAATAGAATAGCTCTATAAAATTTTGAATAAAATCTTAAATCATTGAACTATCATAACAAATGTTAATATCACTTGATTTTAAGAAACCACATAAATGAAATAATACTTGTAAATAAATTTTTAAATAAAATCAATGGAATATAAAATTACCAAATAATCAGATTCATAATTAGAGCGGCTTATCAGAACAATTAACAATCGTGAATACACAGTCTACGAGGATAATTAACCAAACACGGCTTGTGCCACGAAGACAAATGTGGACACACAATCTACAAGGGTCAATAACTAAATGCAGCCGAAGCCACGAAACAAATGTGGACACACAGTCCACGAGAGTAATGCTAACCAAACGCAGCTCAAAGCCACGAAATCAAATGTGAGTATGATGCTCATGAATAACCATCCCTCCATTCCACGTGCGTTGGCCATCGCATGGGGCTAGCACCTCCTATAAGCACTTTGCTAGCTAGGTGAACCATGGCGCACTAAGGGCTAACGGAACTGCCGTTAGCAACCAGTGTTCTGTATAAAGTCCCCTTCAAATCCATTTTTAAACATGCGAGAAGTTCATCATTTTCACAATAAAACTTTCATTTTTAAAGTCAAACTCGTATGAATCATTCTCTGTATCAACCCAATGTTCAATAGCATGAAATCTCATGATCAAAGTCCAAACTTATATTTATTAATTAATTAAAATTTCAAAACTGATAAAGATAATTTCACAAAATAATTAAGTTTAATAAACAAACTATTCAATAACCACATCGTTGTTACTAAAACCATTTTGCACAAAAATGTACTATTGTAGTAAATGAAATCTTTATTGCAAAGTCAGTTGGGATGCTATCCACTTACCTGTAGTACTTTCATAGTTCAAAACTCACTTCTTACAACTCCAATCGAGCTACCCTTCTCACAACCATCCTATAATATTAAATAATAAGATCTTAATGAACTTTACTTTTGAACCAACAAGTCTCTCTTTGTGAGAATTCACTCAACCAGAATTAGTAATAAAACTTTAAGTTTCAATAACAAAATTACACATAAAGGTTTCTTCTTAGGCTTTTTACTAAACATCTAATGTGCAACATTCCAACCCATTTGATAAAATGTGTAACTTTTAATTCTCTTGTCCCAACCATTTTTTTTCAAGCATCTAAGTATGCCTTTTTTAAAGCGATAATATACTTTATAAAATTCTAACTTCAATACTCCCAATAATCTAGAGCTCAAACAAGATATCAATAACTTTCTACATAAACTCCTATGATAAAACCCAATTAAATTTACAATTAACAATGTCAAAGCATTATCATTCATGTCATTAATTTCCTCTATAATACTTTAGCCATACCAATCTATTTACTTGAGATAAAGTTTTCTTTAAATCTTTGCATCAAACACTTTAGGTGCATTATTCCAACCATGGAATTAAAATTTTTGAATCTTCCAGCCTTTATCCAACAATTTATCCATAACCATACTATTCTCAGGAGTTTAACTAGTTACATATGAATTCATAATCAAATTCCTTTAATTTGCAACCTACAAGTTAAATTCATGAATCAATAACACCTAAACTAAACATGCTTTTCACAAGGATTAATGAACTTCTAGAAAAATACAAAATTAAGCAAACTCCTCCTAACAATCATTTTGTCAAGTACCTTTTGTGCCTTCATACTTAAACTCGAATCAACTTCTTTCTCTTTGATTTCATCTTCTCAAAACTTTTTTAACATAAATATACAAATAATTAGCTTCCTAAATTTCATTTCCTCAAATCGATCTTAACTAAAAGAAAGAAAAATAAATAAATAATTTGATAAATTAATAAATTAAATAAATTCTCCCCCTCCACAAATCTCACAGCAAAACAGGGCAAGGAATGTCACAACCACAGCAAAATCATAAGAAGGATTGAAGCATCTCACCTCACTCAACGTGACAAAGCTAAGAAGCAAAATCTCAAGCGGATGAACAGAGCAAGAAGGAAGAAGAATCAGCATACTGAACAAAAAAAGAACTCGAACGATGGCATGTAAATGAGCAGAAGAGATCGGTAGCTTCCACGATCCCGAGAATAGCAACAACATTGTCGGATCTCCAACAACAGCCCAGCGTTTAACATGCTTACCACCTTCGATCAGACAGAATGGAAAAGAAAAGACAAGAGCTCGATGACAAGAAATAGAGGAGAAAATAGCTGCTGTAGATGGGGCGAACGGTAGCAGCGCACACACCACCAGCAATGTTGAAGACGATGAAGGAAGAAGAAGAAGACAGAGACGGCAGAGGTAACCCCCCAGTTCGGCTCTCTCTCTCTCTCTCTCTCTCTCTCTCTCTCTCTTGATGGTTCTTGAATTTGATCCCAAATGGAAGAGAAACATGCTCTGCTCCTTATCTCTTTCTCCCTTAGTTTATTTAATTTAACAGAAGGGCATTTTCATAATTTTGTCTTAAGTTAAAGCTAAAAGGTAAAATTTTCACTCTTGCCTCGTGAAAATTCAAATTTAGACCTATCAATAATGTAATTTGTATAAAGTCCACTAAACCATAATTTCTCCTTGATATATTTGCTCTAAAAATAATAAAAATAAACTTTAAACACCTTTTAATAATTTAATTAATTAATTTTATTTTATTATTAGTATTTATTATTTTTCTTCCCTGGTCATTGCATTTGGAGGGTGGAAATGACGGTGAAACAAATGTGTCTGCATTGGTTACCGCATGCTCCTCAGCGTGGCTCAATCTGGATTTTCCATTTCACTCTGAAATCATCTATACCGTTTGTTTAAATTAATTTTTAAGTATTTTTAATGTTGCATTTATTAATATAAACATTATAAAATTTTATAAAATATGGATTATGCATAACACATCTAAATGGTCAAGTTATAAAATTTACAAAACTTTTTAGTGTTAAATAGGGTCATTCAGTTATATTTGAATTGTTCAAAGTACATTTAGATAGTCAAATTATATAATTATAAAAAATTTTATATTAAATTTGACTATCTAAATTAAAATTATATTAGTCAAATTGATAATGAACAGATTTATTAATTTTTTATATGTTTTTTAAATTTTTTTAAATAAATGCACAATAAAAAAAAAAAAAAATTGAATTTGAATGGATCAGGGCTCATAAAAAATGATGAGTTTCATAGTACTCATTCTTTAATGAGCAAGAAAGACCAATCAGATTAATATTAAATGTTTTTATAGTTTTATATTAATAAACATAATATTAAAAATATTTAAAAGACGATTTCGCATGCCAAACAATATTATATTCCATTTTGTTCAAGAATTTGTTACCATGTGCATCTTCCCTACTCCACTACGTTCCCTTTCCTCCTTAACATCAATTCACAGTATGGCACTGATCGCAATGGAAAAAGAGGAAGGCGCAGAGTATAAAACTTTAAATGCTGAATAAGGAAATTAGCAAAAATATAAAATATTTTTAATTAAATTTTACTTTATAATAAAGTAATTACTTACTTTTAAATTAATCTTATTTTTTTATATTTACCTTTATTAAACACCTATAATAAATATAAAGTCACTATCAATAAGGGCACTTTAAAAAAAATCGATGATTACACCTCAAAAAATTAAAAATGTCTTAATTTTTTAACATCCAACTCTTCAAAAAATATCTTATATTTTTAAACGAAGAGAGTATTATTTTTACAGTACAAAACAACTCCCAAAGTTAATGAAAATGCCGAGAAACAAAACTTGATATTATTATTAAAGTCATATTTTTACTGCTGCAAAAATGGCATTGATCCCCTATTTTTTCCTATCCACCGTACAAAAACAATAGTAACTTTCTCTAGTGATAAGCATATGAGATGAAAGGTGACAAGAAATCAATAATTAGGTACCTCTAGTTATAAAAAGTTGTTAAAAGCTAGTTTGCCTTCTAAACTTTGTTCTAAATTATAATTATTATTATTTTCTAAATTTTCCCTTATTAAATAGTTTATCTTCAATATAAGATAAATTTAATGATTTTTAATTTATTTTGTTATTTTTTGCTGATTTAGTAGGGGTGTTATGAGAAAAAGAATGATAATTTAAAAATTTTACAATATAAGTATTTTGCAATCAACAAAGTGAATCATATTGGGAACTAATGTCCTCTTTATTGATCTTATGATTAAGGAAAAGTCATTTGTGAATTTAAAGAATGTTATTTGTAAATATATTGAATGTCAATCTTGAATGAATATGAATAATCTTAATTTTAAATCAATAATTCAGGGACTTTCTCATATTTTTTGAATATTCAATCACTATAGACTTTTCATAAATTTACAAGTAACTTTTCAAATATTTACAAGTGACGATGTGTATATTCTTAAAACTATAGTGTTCACAATTGACTCTTCCATATATTAGCAAGTAATCTCTCTTAAATTCTCAACTAATTTTTCTTAAATTCATGGGAGATATTTTAATTACAAATAATTGCAAATAAAGATAGTTGTTCTTTTTTGACATCTCAATATTTCAAGATCTTAAATTGTTATCAGTCTTTACCCAGTCCTTAATTATCATTTCCGTAATATATTATTATTAGTATACATTATAGGGTAAAAGGAAAAGCTTATGCAGTTAATATGCTTATTTCCAAGTATGTTGCGGACTTCTTTCCTAAAAATAAGAATAAAGGTGGCTTTACTTTTCAAAAGACTGTCGAAAAATTCACCATAATTGTTAGACAAGATGACAAATATAGTAAAAGAAGTTAAGTCACAAGTCAAAAGCCTACACTGCCTAGGCATAGCTAACCCGACAACTTTTTAAGATAGTGGAGACAGATGTATTAGAATTAGGATATGGCAATATCTTAAAGCAAAAGGAAGAAGATAAAGAGAAAATAGTAAGATTCCATTTAAAAGTATGGTCAAAAGTTCAACAGCAATATTTCACCATCAAAAAGGAAATTTTATCAATCATTTTCTGTGTTATAAAATTTCAAGATGATTTGATAAACCAAAAGTTTTTAATAAAGGTAGATTGTAAAGCAACCAAAGATGTTTTGCGAAAAGATGTTAAAAATTTGATGTCAAAACAAATTTTGCCAAACAGTAAGCTATTTTATCTTGTTTTGATTTCAAAATATAGTTTATAAAAGGAAAAAAAATTCTTTGCCAGAGTTTTTAACAAGAGAATTTCTATAGGGGAAAAGTAAAGATGAGTAAGAAAGATCAAGGAAAAAGTATAGCTATACAGCCAAATACACCCAAAAAGCCAAATTGTCCAATGAGAATAGAAGATTATGTATCAGACAAATCTTCTAGACCACAGACATATGAGTAAATTACATCTAAAGCCACTACTTCAAAAGCCATCACTTCTAAACATCCAAAATTCAACCAATATGTCCCAAAAGAATATATCATGACTGTGTGCACAGTGGAACCCGAATTTAGAAGGACATCCATTATTAAAACTATACAGGCAATATTTTCTCCACATCTTAAAGAGGAAATCTAGAATTCTATTCCAACCAATTTGAGAAAAGATAGAGAATGCTATGAGTATATTCTAGTGGCATCAGTATAGCTGATAAAGAGACAAAAGGAAATCCACACAATCAGATAAAGATACTAAAAGTTCTTATTCCCACCACTTGAGGGTATTCTCCTTTTACAGCAAAAAAATTTTAAAAAAATTATAATGACTAAGTTTATAATTATTATGACTATAATGAAGCTTGGTTTAATGTTTTGTATTATAGAAATTACAATTATTCTTGGTTTTTCTAGCTTGTTTTATAATACAAAACATTGTCTCAATTATGTTTTGTATTATAAAAATCTTCTTCGACTGTTATATTATTTTATAACAAACTTTTGTTATTAACATTATTAACACATTAAAATTTACATATCATGATTTATTGGATAAAAATACATTAAATAATTTATAAAAAATGAGCAAGGTATTGACAACTAACACCAAATGTCATAACAAGGGGGACCCACTAAATCATAGTGAACGGACATTTTGGTATTTAATAACATGGTATTAAATTGTTCCATTTTAATTTTGTTAACAGAAATATTGTTATGATAAGGTGTTTAGGATAGTAGGTATTTCTCAAAAAATAGTTTAAGAATAAAAATATACCTTTACCTTACATTATATAAACATAGTATTAAAGGGATAGAAAATAGAACTAAGTGGATGTGACAGATAATAATGGCTTCAGTCCCTTGAGCATCATCCCATAGTTCGAATCTTGAATGTGTGTATGACAAGCATCTTTTGGGAGATAACAACTTTTTAAATGGTGCTTAAATTTCTTGACTGATTAATCTCATAATTGTCAGCTGTGGAGATAAGTTGATTAAAAAAGGGTTGAAAAATAGGTAAAGATAACTTTAAACAATATTGAGAATGAAAAAACTTGAATAGTCTTCTATCGAAAAATTGATGCTGTTAATTTATGTGAAATTTATTAATTTTGATGTCAGTTAGTAATCAACAAGTTCAGAGCACCAAATTTAATTTTTCCACATGGTATTTTATTTCTTAATATATATAGTATAATTGTTGTCTACAAGTATAATTTAAGGAGAATCACATATAAGTCCCATAAAATAAAATAAAATTAATTGTTTACAAGTCTTATTCACTTAAAAATATTAAAGTTTAGCACATGAATAGAGATCATATTTGACTTGTAAATGGATTAAAGAAATAATTAATTTTTATTTAGAATTTGATTATAATTCTCCCTATAATTTGATTAAAGAAATAATATGCGACAGAAATGAACACATATCCTTTCTGTAGTTTTCCAATCTCGTCATTCAATTTTATGAGCTACCCTGTGAGACATTAGTAAAGTTGAGAATAAAAGATGAGCCTAAAACACACACACTGAGAATAAAGGATAGGCCTAAAGGATAGGCCTAAAACAAACACGCACACACTGAGAATAAACACATACACACACACTACATTTGAAAGGTCTAATATTTTATTTTTAGATGAAGAGAATTTAAATTTATATTGATAAAAATTTTAATCTTCATCTTAAATTTAAAATTTTAAATCTTTGTCAAATTTTATATTAAATTTTATGTAAGATTTTAATTTATTTTATATTAAATTTTAAAATATTCTATTTGAATTAAAATGTTTGATTTTTTTTCAAGAAAGAGGGCTTAAGGGCCTACTTTTGAGCCCTATAAATATGGGTCGAGCCTCAAAATTAGATCAAATTTTAGGTAATCGAATTTTAGGGCTTGATCCCTTGAGGGCCAAGCCTATAAGGGCTAGACTTTTAAGAGTCGGGCTCACCTTGATTCTCACCTCTAAAC